AGATTTCATAAATCAGAAAGTGGTAACATCCAATTGTACAACTAAGGGGAAGATGACATTCAGTACCTCATACAAGGTTTCTCATCTTAATAAATGCATTGCAAATCTATAAATAATCACCAAATGTTGTCAAATTGGAAAGTCAATCACTTAAGAAGCCTTAATTACATAATTCATGTATTTCCTGGTTCAGATGTTAAGGTTATGCTACATGTAAAAGACCAACATGAAGCAAAGAATGCTTCTCATTGTATGATCAGAAAAATTGATTCATTTCCTTAAGTGACAGTCATGCTACCCAGTGCAGAACAGAATGCCTTATTTTTTTTAAGGTTTATGTATGTATATATGGATAGATGAATGGATGGATGGATGGATAGATGGATGGATGGATTTATATGGATGTTTTGACTGCATGTAATTTGCCTATCAGAAGAGGGTAACTACTGTTTTAGACAGTTGTGAGCTGCCATATAGGTACTGGGAATTGAACTCAGGACTGTTGGAAGAACAGCCTGTCCTTTAAAACATCAAGTCATCTCTCTAGCAACCCCAGAATGCCTCATGTTTAATAAAGCCTTAAACTTGGAAACCGAAGAGAATTAGTTAAGTATAAGTGACATAGAAGCAAAAGATGTATGTATGTAATAGCATTCTCTCTGTTCTAAGGCTCTTAAGAACTCAAATAGATCCCTAAAACCACAGGTATACTAAACATGACATATACCCAGGTATGGGTATACAAGGTTATGATTTTCATATACAATATGTTCATCTGTATCTATGACTACCTATGACACTATTTAGATATTAGGCACATTAAGAGATTAACTGCAAACCTGATAAAGAACAATTATACTCTAAGAAAGTTTGCAGTTGTGGTCTCTGTTCTTTTATCTCTCCAATTATTTCTATCTCCCTCCCTAACTTTAGTATCTCTATCTAACTTTATCTCAAACTCTCTCAAAACACCTAGCTTTGTTTACAGATTAATGGTCATGGAATCAAATTGGTTCTGTTCACATAACCTTTATTTTCATTACTAACATCCCCAAGGTACAACTGTAGTGATTTTTGAAATTTGTAGATGACAAGAAGAAGCTAAAAATGTTTCTTTTATTAGAAAAGGTAAAATTCTCAAATTAAGAAAAAAATATGTTATGCTGCAGTCACTAAGATCTACTGTGAGGGCAAATTGTTGAAACTGAAAGAAAGGAAAAGAAATTCATGTTAGGATTGCTACTCAGATGGTATGGGTCACAGAAATGTAGAAGGTCAAATCATGCATAATATGTGGGTAGAATGTTAAAGACATGGATATTTAAAAGGATGTCATAAAATGAGAGGAAAATTTTGCAACACATATGGTCCAAAGAGAATCACACTGTTTAATGACTGGGCTTGTGATCCAGTTAATAGGAAAGAATTCGGCCGGGCGGTGATGGCTCACGCCTTTAATCCCAGCACTCGGGAGGCAGAGCCAGGCGGATCTCTGTGAGTTCGAGGCCAGCCTGGGCTACCAAGTGAGTCCCAGGAAAGGCGCAAAGCTACACAGAGAAACCCTGTCTCGAAAAAAAAAAAAAATAGGAAAGAATTCATGCTTGTCACTGTGAACTTAGCCCACTGGATGTGGCTGGTGAGGCCATGGACCCTAGAGGAGAACCTATACTGTCATTTTCCTAAACTATTATAATCTCTATATGCATTCTAAATACTTACCCTCACAGCCACAGACAAGTATAGTGCTCATCCCTCACCAAAGAAACTTCTTTTGGCAACAGGTGGAGGTCTTTACAGAAAGCCACAACTGGTCAAAGGGCACAGATCAATAGACTGTCATGTGCCTTTCCCCAGTTAACACATTTGCAACCTAATCTATATACTTAAGGCTCAGGGGGAGTAACAGAAGTGGGGTAGGAAGAATGTAAGGGCCAGAGGACCAGGGCAACTGCTATGAGATAGTCTATTCTATTTTGTTTGTTTGTTAGTTTGTTTTTGTTTTTTCGAGACAGGGTTTCTCTGTGTAGTTTTGGTGCCTGTCCTAGATCTCGCTCTGTAGCCCAGGCTTCCCTCGAACTCACAGAGATCTGCCTGCCTCTGCCTCCTGAGTGTTGGGATTAAAGGCGTGTGCCACCACTGCCCAGCAAGATAGTTTGTTCTTAAAAAAAGGAATATGATCGCTTGCCTTTAATCCCAGCACTCGGGAGGCAGAGCCAGGCGGATCTCTGTGAGTTCGAGGCCAGCCTGGGCTACCAAGTGAGTTCCAGGAAAGGCGCAAAGCTACACAGAGAAACCCTGTCTCGAAAAACCAAAAAAAAAGGAATATGAAAGAGTGCAAAAAGTGGGGGGCAGGATGGAGGCAGAAGTAGATCTGACATTGTCTGGGAAAGGAAATTAGTGGAGTGAATGTGATCAAATTTTATGAAATTGTCAAATAATTAATAAAATATATTATAAATTACACAATTATGTTAATTATATGAATGGGTTCTATGAGTTAAGTAGAAGACAGTAAGAATATTTAAATAAATATAAGATTTACAAGTAATAATATATAGTCAAGAACTTGAACAAAGATTAAATATTTCAGCAATCAAAATATTGCTGTCTAAGCCACAGAGACAATTTTTGACCATCGTATAGGCAAAGAGAACAGAAAAGTAAATATCCACTGTGATGACATGAGCCTTACATGTATGAATTGTAAGCAGATGTAGAATATATTATAATAATATATAATTATAATAATAATAATATATAATAAATAATAAATACTTAAACTTTGGAAAACTATCCCATTGTTATAAAAAGTGGGAAGACAAAGCCAGGTGGTGGTGGTGCATGCCTTTAATCCCAGCACTCGGTAGGCAGAGACAGGCGGATTTCTGTGAGTTTGAGGACAGCCTGGACTATAGAGTGAAATCCAGACCAGACACCAAAACTACACAGAGAAACCCTGTCTTGAAAAACAACAACAACAACAAAAAGTGGTAGCACAAATGAATCTATAATTAAGACTACTAATTGAAACGTTATTTACTGAGGAACAAATAAAAAAGCAGACAATAAGGATTTATATGACCATTATAATATTCTAAAGTTATTTGTAAAATTAATGGAAAAATAAAGTTACAAAGAAGCATTTATAGTAGGTTTCTATTTTACTGCTGTTACTAAAATCCTGATATAGTATGTAAGAAATTATGGGATATGAAGTAAATATTTTAGTTCTATACCCTATGTTTCCATGAAATACACTTTTAACAATAACCATGAAAGTTAAAAGAAATATAAAAGGGTTACAATATAAAATGCTCAAGTTCCTTAAAGTAATAATTGTTTCTGTGTATAATATACTATATTGAGTTTTACTAATGGCTTCAGGAGAATTGCTTAATATCCTATTAATGGGTCTATATCATTAGGAAATCCAGGCAGCAGACACTGCTTGTGCTTAGGCAGTTTCCATAGAAACTCTTTATACCGCTGAGCACTGTCTGGTTCCAGGGCCTGGTTCCAGATGTTTAGTGTGTGACGACATGGCTGAGAATTTTCACATAATAGAGGACTCTATTTATATAGTAGATTCAGACTCAGCAAAGAAAGACATGTAAAATTTAGAATGCTAATATATTAATTTAAATATGATTGTCAATAGGATAAAGTCTAGAAAACATTGTATTGATAGTGAGACATAACAGTGACTATTATTTTAATTGTCTGGAGAAATTATAATATCAAAATAGTATCTAATTAATAGTAGTGACCACTTAGTTATTGTGATTTTAATAGACTAGAGAAATTGAAATCCATAAGTTATCTAAAAGATAACATAAATGAGAAATAAAATCATGACTCAAATGATGACCTAATGCCTAAATAATTGTATTATATATATATATATATATATATATGTGTGTGTGTGTGTGTGTGTGTGTGTGTGTGTGTGTGTGTGTGTCTGAGAGAGAGAGAGAGAGAGAGAGAGAGAGAGAGAGAGAGAGAGAGAGAGAGAGAGAGAGAGAGAGAGAGAGAGAACCTGCCATGGTTTGAATAAGAATGGCACCCATGGGCTCATATGTTTGAATACTCAGTCCACCATTAGTGGAATTGCTTGGGAAGGATTATGATATGTGGTCCTGTTGGGGAAGATGTGTCTCCGGATGTGGTCGCTACTGTTTCAAAAGACTCACACTCTTCCCAGTTAGCTCTTAGGACATAGTGTTGCAGATCAAGAGTTAGGCTCTCAGCTCTTCCTCTTCCCAGCCATTATGGATGCTAATCATCTGAAACCATAAGCCAGATGGTTTCTTTTATAAGTTGCCTTGGCCATGGTGTTTTATCACAGGAATAGAAAAGTAACTAAGACACATTCCCACATTACCAAGGTTGGAACTATTCCACGTAATTGAGGTGATTTAGCAACTACACACTGATTGATTCTGTGGTTATATTACACTTTCAAAGGAGAAGCTATCTTCTATACCTCATTTTAAGATTCTAAGGGCACTTTATTGTCCTTTCCTACACACTGACAACTCTTCAGAGAATGTTGTTTAACATATGGACCCATATTTTCAGATTGACTGTTGAAGCATGACTCTTTTTTTTCCACACATATCCAACTCTTATATCTTCTAACTGAGAAAAAGAAAACATTATTTACAATAAATTGTCAAAATGTGGTAATATTTCAGTAGGATTCACAGAAGATAGCAAGAGTGATTCATAACATTACATTCAAAATACTTGTACTGCTCCCCTGACTCTAAATCTCGGCTATTTACGTGTCAGCAAGGGATCCATTTCCAAAGACATAAAGAAAAACCTCTGAATGAGTATGGAAACAGCATTTTAAAACGGGACTATTTACTTGGAAGAGATAAAAAAAAAAATGTCAGTTTAATCTTCTGCATTCAACCTGTAGCAAAATGCCTGGCAATCCATTTCTATCGCTCCAAGGCTGTCAAACAGGCTCAAAACAATACTAAGTAAGCACTTACCATTCTGAGTCCAAGTACTAATATCTTGAAGTCACAAAATGCTTAGTCTCTGTGCGGTTGTGCATGCACTCCTGTGGGGCTTGCTGACCTCTTCCCTAGGTAATCCCAGCAGTAGAAAATCCATCTCTCTTGGCCTGCCTGTTCAATGAGAAAGGAAGGGGGAAACTACCACATTTGCTATCTAAATGAGAATCAGAAGAATCTAGCTCTCCTCTGCCGGCTTCATTTGAAACTTATGGGGTCTGTCATCTGAAGATCACTGGCTTTGCCGCCATTTGGCAAATTTCAGTGACTTGTGTAGCTTATTACAATGGCTCTCTTCAAGGGGTTCACAACCAGTTGTCAATTCAGGGACAAAAGAACAAGTCCTATTTTCATCTAACATTGTATCTTACTCTAATGATAATTCTTCAAGAAAAGTACATTATTGCACGAACTAATGGTGTCATGACCCACGTGCCTAGGAAAAAGATCAGACAGTGCTATCCTTTTCATTCAAAATATTCTCCACTATTCCACCTCTTGATGAACATTTTACCTGCAATAAATGTTCCGCCTTACCATAACTTGATCATATTTTGTTGTATACATCCATGAAATCTCTCCTTGAAGCACTACACAATTAATATCCTATTTATGACCACACTTTTTACATTGTACTAGTGTACATTGAAATATATATCTATTAAATTTTCAGGTCCATAAAAGACAAAGATAAATGAATTTTTAAAAGTAAGCAATATTTGGATGAGTATTTAAATCTATAAATGAATGAAATCAGAAGAAGTATCAAATGTAAACAACAACAACAAAGAAGCTTGCTGACAGAATTGAACTGAAGAGAGATTTGGGGGAGAGCAGGAGAAGGGCGAGTCAGTTTTTAAGAACACTTGATGTTCTTACAGAGGAATCAAGCCTGGCCTCTGTCATATACATAAAAGCTCGCAATGTTTATAATTACAATTCCTGGGAATTTGACATCCTTTTCTGATTTTGGCTTTCATCACATATGCACAGGGTACAAATACATACATGCAAGACAAATGCTTATAAGCAAAGCATAAACACATAATTTTTAAAATACTAAAAAATCTGATTATGAACTATAAATTTTATTAATGAGATAGAACAGTCTTAATACGAGTTTTTCAAATATTCATAGTTAAAGGATTATTTTTATCATTCTAGGAAACAAAATTTATATATAGTTATATAAACAAAAATTTTGACAAAAATATTCACCAAAGGAGTGAATTTATAAGTTATTTTCTCAATAAAGTAATACAGGCATTTTGCTCCAAGAGTGTGTTTTTTACTGTCACAATCATAAAAAAAGTGTGCTATTAGTATACATGAAAATTTTAAGATACATTATTGAAAGTAAAAATAGTTATAGGATATTAACTTAGACAGAATAGATAAAACTATAAGTGATATTTAGTGGAAACTGGCTTACTGGTATTATTATAGGTCAATAAATTATACTTGGCATGAGGGTAAATTATTGCTTAAATAATATTAGTGTCTAAATGTGGTGATATATTGTGTCCCCCAATATATTGTGCATCCTAACAAATTTATCTAGCGTTAGAGAACAGATCAGCCACTAGATAGACATAGAAGTCAGAAAATGGTGGCACACAAACCTTTAATCCCAGCATTCCAGAGGCAGAGATCCATCAGGATCTCTGTGAGTTCAAAGCCACACTGGACAGCCAGGCATGGTGACACATGCCTTTAATCCCAGAAAATGATGGCAGGAAGCAGAAAGGTATATAATGCGTGAGGACCAGGAACTAGGGCCTGGTTAAGCTTTTAGGCTTTTAGCAGCAGTTCAGCTGAGATCCATTTGGATGAGGATACAGAGGCTTCCAGTTTGAGGAAACAAGATCAGCTGAGGAATTGGCGAGGTGAGTTAGCTGTGGCCTGTTCTGTCTCTCGGATCTTTCAGTGTTCACTCCAATACCTGGCTTCAGGATTTTTTTATTAATAACACCTTTTAAGATTTGTGTTCCATCTAAATATATTTGGAAGTTTTTGTACATACTTCAGACACCAAAATCCAGGTACAAGTGCAGTAGTATTCATGGCTTCTATTCAGCAGCATACAGTACTAAGATATTATTATCCAAAAACAATAGGCTTTACCACATCTCTCTAGAACTACAGAAGGCCCACAACTATCTTGTGAAAACATGTTATAGAGATCCATATAATCCCAGCAAAATATGGACAAAGAGAACCTCTGAGAATAGAAACTTTACAATAGGAGGTATTATTGAAAGTGGTGGTGTAGAGACACCAGAATCCTAAGTATGACACATGTATAAGGAAAATTTATAAAGTTCAGAATAAAAAATGATAAACTATGATGTAAGGATATATTATATACTATATTTTGCATTTTTTTACATTTCCTCAGTGAAATCAGCCACAAAATAATCATTCCTAGTTCATTCTCCTGGATCCTTTATGAGATATATAGCAGATATCCAATTATAATCTACAAAGTTGTGTTTTCTAAGGGTTCTGTGCTTGGTAGTTATATAAGTAATATAGAAAAGAGTGGTGAAATTTCAAACTTGGTGAGAATGGCATTTACAATTTGGTTCGATAATACTTTGGTTCTTTATATTAGCCATCATATTGATCAGCTTAACCAATATCTACAGAACAATTGAATCAGTGCTTCTGGGTATCTGTGAGGGTGTTCCCAGAATGTGAATTCTGGGATTGACTCACGATGACTTCTCATTCATATGGATATGTACCATCCTATTGCCTGGGAGCCAGAAGACAAGCAAAAAGCAGAGAAAGTTCTGTAGTATATACGTACATCCATATGCGTATAACTGTCTATCTATCTATCTATCTATCTATCTATCTATCTATCTATCTATCTATCTATCTACCTACATAATATCTTGATATTTGGGGACAGAGTCCCTGAAAGCAAGCAGTTCTGATTTCAGTCCTAATCTAGAAATACTAGAAGTGTTTCAATCAAACCCTCTTGGTCTGTCAGAAATACCAGAAAGGTTTAGGGGCATTAAATTTTATTCTGGTTTCTCATCATCTTTCCTCATTTATAATAGTCTAGAAGATACACAGGATGGTATATATATACATCATGTTGGGGTGAGTAACAGAACTAATGAACATTCTTTCACACTGCAGCACAGTTAAGTCTAAATAACTGTAAGAAAGTGAGCATCAGTGAAAACAGTTTCTTGAGTTTGTTTACTGTGTACAGAGCCTTGCTTGCCCCCTCTGTGTTAAGCTCTTTTCTACACTACAATTCCTTTCGAAAACCAACTATCCTGTTGTCTATGAAATCTATTCTTAGAGTTCTCAAGTGGAAGAATCTGGAAGTCAATTTCCTGGAATGGCATTGGCAGTCACAAGTTTTCTGGGACCCTAGGCTCCGAATTATTCCTCACCCGAGGCAGTGAAAATCTCCATCGTTCTCACTGGCCTCCTTCTTAACTTGCGTAACTATTTATACATGTTCTGTCTTCTGTCATCTAACTCTTCCCCTGTTTCTAACTATTTTATCTATTTTGTTTATCTATCCATCCACCATTGGTCTGTTTTTCTGAGGAATCTTAACCAAACACTGCTAGATTCCTATTGACTTATGGTCAAGTTAAGAGCAATCAGAACAAAGATGTCAAGGTCACACATATTGTCAGTAGACATTTGAAGGTTCCATAGTTTTTCACAGTGGTTGATACAGTCTAGTATAATTGAAATCATTATTCTCTATTTAAGTAAATACTTTCTGAGGCCTTTTGTCTCGTATGCTGCTAGTCTGAAGGTACATCACAGTTCTGGCTGCACCTGGCCATTCACAGTAAGTCATTTTTGAATCAAATAAGTCTGTTTCTCTATGATATTTCCAGTATTTCCACCTGCATCATTGGCATCAAAATCTAAGTTATAAACTTCCTAGCAGGAACTGAATTTTCTTTTACATTTGATTTCTGCTGGATATCAACGTCAGTCAATGTTCTTATATTAAGCCAGCATTCACATATGTCATCAGAGAACAAGAACTGGACCCCTTCATCCTCAAACATAAATCTTTAAGGAGCTTATATATCTGCTTCTTATTGTAGTAAGTATTTAAGGATATAAAACAAACTATGAGAAAATAAAGCAAATTCTTCTGTATATTCTTAGTTGGATCCTCTCTAGAAAAAAAAAAAAAGCCACCTCAGCCACATTACTACAGTTTGATTCAACTCTGGGTAGAGATACTCCCATCTATCATAATAGTGACAGTGTAAGTGTTTGGGGAAGGACAAACTGATCTTACCACAAGATAAAGAAATGATGCCAGGGACAGAAGAAAATATCTTGGAAGTCGTTCAAACTCCCTAATGGACCATTAGCAAACACTGAGAGGCAAAGCTCCTGATTTGGTTGGATGGTACTGCTTTTGTTCAGTGGATAAAATCAGAAAGATCAATCCTAGCATTGCACCGCACTAGCAAAAACACATCACACTATTTGTTTGTTTTTGTTTTTCCTTAAATTTCTGCATTTGCTCTGATGGGGATAACCTTTACAAGGCTTAAAACTCTCAGGATTTGATTCTTTTAAACAACGCATCTCTACAGAAAAGTGGCATGGTAATGGACTAGGTGGGGTGGCCCAAGAGTTAACATTGCTTTAAATGTCTCCTGCACATAAAAACTCCTAAGAGCACAGTGACTCTGCAAGGCAAATAAGTTTCAGGAGATGGAGCGAGAGCAAATATCATTAAGTATTTTATCCTCTGTGTTTAATCCATTATAGATGATACTTGGAATAGACACACAGAATCTGATGCCACCTCACAAGAATACTATAACTCTAATATATGAGACATTGAGGCACCTGATTCCACATCAATTCCACTACAAGCATAGCATTAATATTTTAATATACAATTTGCTTTGCCTTGTGGGCAGCTACTGCAGAGCAAGAATATCTGTATAAAATTTATCATATTGAATTTTAAAACCTGATGATTTGAGTTGATGCAATTATCTTTGTTCTTCTTCTGTACCCTAGAGCTGTATCTAATGGTAGCTGGTGATATTTAGAAAGTATTTTTGTGCTGTTTAGAAAACTAAACTTCTGAGACTTCTCTT